GGGGGGGGGGATGGCAGGCCCACCCCTGCCCTGCCATCCCTGCTCCAGGAAAGCAGTCCCAGCCTGTGCCCGGTGTTGGTGTTGCAGAAGGAGCTCGGGGTGGGGGTGGGGGTGGGCAGCTGGGTCACCCAGGCTCACAGTGCAGACGCCGTTGCCTGTGGTGGGGAATGGGCTGGGGGCTTCCCCTCCAGGGTGGGCAGCAGGCCAACCACGTGAGTCTCCTAGGGTCACTGCAACAAATCACCTCAAACCGGTGGCTTAAAATGACAGAGGTGTCCTCTCTTACCGGCCAAAGTCACCACCAGTGGGACAAAATTCAGGCCTTGGCAGGGCTGTGTTCACCCCAGAGGCTCTGAGGGAGGGTCTGTTCCTCACCTCTCGCAGCTTCCGGCGGCTCCAAAAGTGGCTTGGCTTGTGGCTGCGTCCCTCCAATGTCTGCCCCATGGTCACGTGGCATCCCTTCTGTGTGTCAGATCTCTCTCCGTCTCCTCTTATAAGGGTGCATGTAGTTGGCTTACATGATAGTCCGGGCTAGTCTCCTCATCTTGAGGTCCAGGATTTAGTCACTTCCGCAGGACCCTTTCTGGCCACACAGGCCCCATCAAGGTTCCCGGGATTGGGAAACCTGCGGGGGCACAGGCAGGCCACCACACTGGGTGAGGCTGCCAGCCAGGAGAGATGGGCCGCGGAGGGGCCGCTGTGTGTCCCCACCTGTCCCAAAGTGACCATGGGTCTCAGGAAGGCGCATGAACAGCGTGTGATGAGAAGGAAGGGCCGAGTAGCCAGGCAGAGTGCGGTTCCCAGTCTGTGTCCCGGGCAGTGGCACTGGTGGGGCAGAACCACGTGGGAAGGGTCTGGGTTGATCCGTGGAGGCCGCCAACGGAGATGGCCTGAGCAGGAAAACACAGACACAGGAAACCCAGTCAAATTTGGATTTCAGATAAACAGTGGATAATTCTTTAATATGTCGTATACAGTATTCACACCAGAAAAGTACTTGTTCTTTATCTGAGATTCAAACTGGACTGTCTGTTTTGTCTGCGACCTTGGGAGACCAGGTGCCTCCTGATGCAGGCTACCGCCACCAGTGGGGGACCCGCTGACCCTGCAATGTGTCTGCTCCAGGAGGCTGTCAAGTCGAAGAAAGCTGTGAGCCGGGGACAGGGTACGAGTGAAAGAAAGCCCCACTGGGGTGAAAGCACTTCATGGTCTGTAGTGGTCCCTGCCCTCCTGTCCCAAGCTGTTGCCACCTGGCTCCCTCTGGGAGTCCTGGTCACCTAGACACTTCAGGTGGGACGAGGTCAGGTCCTGCCCATCAGAGGTCTGTGCTCACAGCCCCTCTGCTGGCCCCGGGTGAGGTGAGGGAGGCAGGCCCAGGAAGGTCCAAGCGCCCGGATCTGGAGCCTGGCAGGGCTCTGGGCCTTGAAGCACCCCTGCCTGGTACCAGGCTCAGCGTATGGCCCACGGGACGGGCAGGGGATCGTGGCTGGAGGAGGCAGAAACCTGGGGCCTCAGCCCGGCGGGGTGCGGTGGCTCTGGGCCTCCACAGGGGCAGCACGCCTCCCCGGGATTTTCCCCAGGGTCCAGCAAGGGGGCTCCCCTGCCTCCAGCACCCTGCCAGCAGGACGGCGGGAAGTGCCCAGGCTGTTCCTGGAGCCGCCCACACTCGGAAGGTGGGTTTCTGGGGTCCGGTGGGCACTGGCCACACCTCGGGCTTGAGACACTGCAGGGAGATGAGCCCCCGTCACAGGGGAGGGCTGGGGTGGGGGGACTCGCACAGCCTCTCGTGTGACACTCTGGCCCTCGGTTCTCACCACGTCACATAGTGACAAACGTGTGGCGTCATCACACGTCACGGCCTCCGGAAAACTCCACATATAAGAGAGAACAGTAGTGACAGAGAAAAGGTCTTGATAGGACTATGGAAGCAGTTTCGACCTCTAGGGCCTTCTAGAAGGTTCTTGGGACCTGAGGGGCCCGGACCGAGCTTTGACAGCCCCTGGTCTCAGTAGCATTGCAGGTAGCAAGGCGCCAGGGACAGAGCAGGTGTCTGAATGAGCGGCACTAAGTGCTCGCGGGTGCGGCCGGTGGGCTCCCCTCCCGTCTCTGCCGCTGTCCAGCTCCGGAGTGGCCGCTGGAGCCATGGCGGTGGCCTGCAGGAGTCAGGTGGGGGTGCAGGCTTGGGGTGTGGAGGGAGCTGGGGGGCCTTCCTTTGCCCCAGTGGTGGGGGGGCCCTTTCCTACCGCAAGCAGGGGCTGCTGAGCAGGGCAAGGGGCAGGGTCCACCAGGCTTGGGGGGTAGGGTGTCGGCTTGAGGAGCCCAGTGGGCAGCTGGGCACCACAGCCCTACGGTGCCGCCCGGAGTGGGGGGGCCACAACCTGAGGCCTGGGGGCCCAAGCCGGGGACACGGAGTGGCACTCACAAAGGGCTCGTGTGACTGGGCTGCCGAGGAAGATGTGGAGGCCCAGGGAGGTGCCCTGCCTGCCGGCCACAGGGCTGGCTCCGGCCGGGGCTCAGGGAGGCTACACCTGAAGTCGGGGCCTTGGGGCCAGATGCTACCACCCTTGCTCGGCTGTGAATAATTTAAAGCAGGACCCCCGGGACCCCATTGGCAGCTTCGCTCTTCACTTTGGGTGCCTCTGAAAAATTCATGAGTCTGTGGGGTCCTGCTGAGCTGGCCAGATCTGATCTGTCTCCTGCCCTTGTCTGCCCGGGGCTCCTGGCGCCCTCCCCTCAAAGCAGAAAGCGTGTTCTCACCGTCCCCCAGGGTCCAGGGTAGCCCTGGCAGTGACAGTTTTGGGTCTGAGCAGCAGTTTCAGACCCCAACAATGGGATTTTGGGGTTTCTCACAAGAGAGCCACCGTCTTGTGGGTGGCCGTGGGTGAGTCCCCTCCTGGATGCCCTAGTGTGGCTCAGAGTGGGACCACGGGAGTGCCCCTGGTGCGCTCCCAGTGTGGGCTCTGCGTTCCTGTGCGTGACCCGGATGTGGAACTCTGCGCATCCGTGTGTGGCTCCGTGGGGTGTGGGGAGAACTCGGTGGGCGTCGCGGAGCCCTCGGGAGCTGGTGCGGTGTGTGTGTGCACGTGTGTGTGCAAGTGCCTGAGGGTGTAGGTGATGTGCGTGCACACACGAGCACGTGTCCCGGCCCTTCCTGTGCCGCTGGCAGGCTGCAGAGTCAGAGCTGAGCTCCTGGGAGGCATCTGTGGGAGGCCGGGTCCAGGCCTTGCTGGCAGTCCTCTCTGTCCCATAGCCCTGCGGGGAGAAGCTAGCGGG